ATCGGAGGTTTTGATACATAAGATGAGATCTGACGCACCTCCGCATACGACAGAATGGAGTTACTGCCGCAGCGTCGGTATAAAGTCAGCTCAGCCCCGAGGGGCCACGACAACCTCGCACCCCGCTTGCCCATTCTGAGTTGTCGGGAACGCATTAAGCATCGAACCGTATGCCGCTCGCAAAAGGCTACCTGACCTGAAATACATCAGCCTGGTCTCCCGCGCGTTCCCACGGTAGAGAAGGCCACTCTACCTCCCAGAGTAGAGGGGCTTCCCCAGCGTAGAAACTACCGGATCCACTCTGGCCGCGGTTTTGTTTAAAGTGGAATTGCTAACCACCCCCTAGAGGAGACCGCCTACGGTAAAAGCCTCCAATCGAGCTCAGCCTGCACATAAGTGCAAATGCATACTCAAGTAGGAGCAACCGATTCACTACCCGTTCCCATCCGCCACTACACACGCATTCGAGGGACTTTTCAGCATAATCATAGCGCCCTTAACGCTTATACGCTGCCGTCCGATCCGACGTATACCGTGAGGCCGCGTGTATAACGATGGCAATGCGCAAGTTTCGTGCGAAGGTCACACATAGAAGACAGCCTCTTCTGTAAGTACTCGCCAGGGGTGTCGCTACGGCCAACTACGAGTCCATTCCCATTGCAACAGGGGCTGAATCTTGGAACTTTTCTGTTACCCCGTAGTACGTATGGCTATGCACCCTCCACCGTAACCAAGAGTTGGGAGGAGTCCAAGGAAAGAGTGCAGGAACCTGGATTGAAAGAGGGACGTGGATGAGGGCACGATGTGCCCGTTTTCAGGGCCCCGAGCCTTAACCACATTATGCCACCCGTCGTCGCTATAGTTCCACAAATCAATTGACACAGTTGCCTTTAGAAAACCTTGTATCTTCACCTCAACTACATGGACGACACCTTCCCTCTGAGATTCCTAAACACCAAAGAACTGTCGATTTTCTCCCTAGTGAGGAAAGTGAAAAGTGTCGTAACATAGAAACATTTTCAAATGAAATTTTCATACCATGGTTGCATCTATTAAAAAGATTTTCCAAGAATTCGTGGATATTTCGAATTACACAACTGCTTAGTCAGATTCTGAAATATCAAGAGTCGTTATATTTTAAAATATCTCAAATCTTAAAAAACCTTAAGAGGTCTAAAACATTAAACATACAATGAATATTATTTTTAAAATATGATTCAGCATTCGGGTGTCGAAATGATTGCCCGCCGGCCTAATTACACCCTTTACAATCATTTTGTGTTGGCATTTTTTATAGATCCTTTAATTACTTTTTACCCGCTTTATCAAATCAAACAAGCATGAAATTACTCGAGGACACTGGAAAAAAAGTAAAATGCGCATTGGCGAAAAAGTTCAACAGTGACAACCTCATTACCGCCCTGGTAAAATCTAATTTTCCTCACATCGTTGTAAAGTTACAACGTACAATCATTTCTGTGGCCTGTTCAATTTACTATAAAATTATCAGCGTAATCTGTGGCCGAGTTTTTAAAAACATGGAACGAAACAACCAGTTTTTTTCATAACTCCAAACTTTTTGTACATTATACGATTACAGATTAGAAATACAACTTTGGGAAAAAGGGTTGAACCTACAAATTATCAGCAGAGTTTCAGATTTAACCATATAATCTGGCTTTGATCATGATTTAAATTGAAAACGTAACTTTCAGTTTGTATGGTTAGAAAAACAGACAGGAGGTCATTTGATGTCATTGCTGTTAGTCTTTTTTTGGGAACTTCTTGTTACTGTAGATTAAATATCCATTGACCAGCTTCTTCCCCATCGAAGAAAATATTAATAGTTGTTTCTCCTTCTTCTCCTTTGCCTAAGAAATGGTTTATTATTAATCATACCCATTTTGTGTAGATGTTTTCTCACATGCCACAGACCAGTATAGAACTATATTACTTTGGTTAGCAACATTACATTTGCCACTTTTAGAGTATGGTTTTAAAACAATTTCCAATCTTGAGATTACTAATAAACCCGTCAAACGTCATTGTATTTGTACTTTGGTTTTGTGCTGTTTGATCTTGTTATCCCAACTGTAGGATTTTTGCTTTTAGATGGCCGTATCCTTCTCTGAATTTGTCTGCTTGTTGTTGATTTGCCTTACTTACACAAAATCAAGTTTTTGGTGCATTCAGAGAATATTTGGTGTGACATTTTTAGACGCTAATGCTATAATAGCATTAGAGGTTAGTTATGTGCCATATAACTCTTTGATCTTATGAGATGTTTTTAGTGCAACCTAGTTCATTAATTTTTATGTCTTGAGAATTAACATCATACATTTTGCTTGAAAGATTGATGATCACTTTCCGAAAGCTTTTCTCATATTTTCGGCTTTCACGTAGCCTGTTCTTTCATTGGTTTTGTTTTATTCTCCCCCTTTTCTTCAGTTTAAAGTTTATAGGATGTTGCAAAGGATGTTTCCTCGGTCATATAGACACTATCCGTTCTCAGAAACGAGTGTCTGATTTAATTTATTGTTGGTAGCACGAAACCTTTGGCCCCATCTCATTTTGTTTTTTTTCTGGAGTAGGTATGAACTTAACGTTTCATTGAATCGGTATGAACGGTGCAGATCTTGGTGGTAGTAACAAATACTCCAGCGAGGCCCTGGAGGACTGATGTGGAGAAGGGTTTCTTGTGAACAGCTGTTGCACAAGAGTCAGTCGATCCTAAGCCCTAGGAGAAATCCGAAGCGATGGGTTTTAACTTTTCCGGAAAATAATTGCTTTCTAATTCATTTATTTCATACAGTTGGTTAACAAATTTAAGAATAGACCATGGTTTATCTGTTTCTAATCTCGGTACGTCTTTAATAACGTCTTCCAAATACTTAGGTAATTTTAATACTGGTTTTTGTTCGACCGTTGCTGATCTGAGAATTTTTTCTTTAAGAGCCTCGGGGAGTTTATTTGTTTCGTCGTCCGAATGAACGGTATTATTTATTTTTGTGATGGTATCCAATTTTGTTGTGTTTTCTTGTATGTCTGTACTTTCTATTGTAGATTTGTTGAAAGTCAGCGTTCCTAACAATGTCAAAATTTGGTCCAGTTTGTTATTTAAGGCCTCTGTCTGCTTTTTTAATTGTGTATTTTCGTGTTTCAATGTTACTATGTCATTGTTAATAGTTTTTATAGCTATGGGGTCGGTGTTACCGGAGCAATTGTCACACTTCCATTTCTCCCTTCGTTCGAAACTCATTTTTACGTATGTCTCCCGTGAAGCTAAACGTGTGCACCTAAAATGAAAAGACCCTTCACATTTATTACAAACGCACCCTTCATCTTTTTGCACAAACTTGGCACATGTTAAACACTGAACTGGATCAGACATCTTTCCTGTTCCTTAGAAAAAAAAAATTAAAAGATCTTACTTTAATAAGTTAAAATTTTAGTTATAATCAAACAGCAAAGTTTAAGCGCTATTTGTTCGCTCTGCTACCATGTAACCCCTTGGGTATTTGCTTGACCTCAAAGGGTGTACCAAAAATTTATGGTCCGGCTCTCTCGCCAGTTTTAAATTAAAAAAAAAAAATAACAAAACAAAATCTCGACTCAAAATGTATTTACAAATAAAATTACAACTTCAAATTTTAAAGAAACAAAATACGTTTTCTGGGACAAATAAAAAAACCTTGAATAACTAAGGGGGAGCCTTGACTTACCTTGATAGAAAAATTTCTAATTAAAATCGTCTGGACTGCACCAAAGACAGGGCAGGAGTGAGTTCCCCCGCTCTGATCATAAGAGACGGAAAAGGTAATTCGCTCCCGCCCCTGCCCGGTACTGGCGATTAGAGGCGTGACAGTATGTTTCCAATGGAGGAGGGTCTGATCGTGTTGGTACAGTAAATGAGGGTTTCATTGCTTCTGTAATGCCATTTCTTTGAAAGGATGTTTCCAATGGAGGAAGGTCTTGTCGTGTTGGTACAATAGATGATGGAGTTTCGTTTCCCCTTTGATGCCATTTCTTCGATATGATGTTTCCAATGGAGGAAGGTCTTGTCGCGTTGGTACGGTAGATTATGAGGTTTCATTGCGCATGTGATGCCATTTCTTTTAAAGGATGTTTCCAATGGAGGAAGGTCTTGTCGTGTTGGTACGGTAGATGATGAGGTTTCATTGGCCTGTGATACCATTTCTTTGAATGAATGTTTCTAATGGAAGAAGATCTTGTCCTGTTGGTACAGTAGATGAGGGGTTTCATTGCCCCTGTGATGCATATTTTGTCAGTAGATTGTTTCTGTCGAATTCAGTGATTATATGTTTATAACCTGACTCTGCTCTTTTGTACATAGCGTATGAGCCCTAACGAATAGTCATAGGTCTTTATTTTTTATGATTAACTTCCACTTATTTTTTAATATTATAACTTCCATGACTTATAAGCTCTCAGATTTGAAAGCTTTCACTGTCTTCCTTTGACTTGACGGATTGTCGGGACTGAATCGGAAAACCATCCAACTCGTCCATTGTATGTAACCAACGAAACTTCAGATTCAATAACGATCCCGTTACCGCAAATTTCATAAAGGTCTCAACTAACATGAATTAAATCCAGAAACTCTCGTTTTGAATAATTTTTGAAAAACAGTGACCATGGAATTTTTTGTCTAGTTATAGTAAGAGTTATAGTGACACTGATAGCGATCACATAGGTTTTAATTAAATAATTATATTCTGAAACGTGCATATGCTCACACCTGTACCTATTTTCACTAGGGATAAAGCAATTAGGAAACCATCTTATATAAATAATCTTGGTTTTATTGAGTATACCTAATTTCATGTTGAGATTTGGTAATAAAATTATACCGTTAATTCTGAATTAATTTATATTTTTAGAAAAAATCTTTCTTATTATTTCAACACCAGTCCGTTTTGGTAAATTCCAGTAATAATATGGCTAGTGGAAAAGAGAAATGACTATCGTGATAGGATTTGTCTACAATGATGGGCAAATGAATAAAGAACAATTATAAAACCAAGAAAATATTGAGTACAATGTTAGAATGGCTATCATCTCCCATTGCAGTGTTTCATTAATTCGTTTTATTTCCTATACCTCATTCACTGTGCAAAATTACGTTCAGTAACAATTTCCTTCTTTAGAAAGAAACAAAAAAAACAATTGATAATCCCACATTTATGATATCACGTGCAAATTCCCTAGAAAGCAGTGGTACAGACACGTTCAAGCTTAGGGGGAAAACAAGATGCATAAATAAATCACTGATTCAATTGTGATGCTGTTTGAAAAAGTAAGACAGGAATCTGGGAATTTGAACGTGAAATTTTTATTGCATTTGAGATGTCTGAATGTTGACTGTATTATTATCCCTTGTCTTCTCAGAAACCAACCCGGTACAAATCGGCACAACAGCTCTCACAGGCCCAGCTCCACAAGGTTATCCTCTTTCTCTGTCTCTCTTTAATCTTAAATCATATTATTTTACGAATTTCTTTATTTCTATCTATTTTTCTCTCACAAACACACTCTATCTCTCTTACTGTCTGTCTTTATTTTTATCTATCTCTCTTTCTCTCTCTCTTTCTTTCTCTTTACCTATCTATTTGTAACGTGCACATTAATTTAAATACGTAAAAGCATTTATTCTTTCAACTACAGCAAATGCTAATATTTTTTCTTACAAACTTATTTGAGTATTGTTTAAAAAAATTGAATTAGCAGAAACTAACGTACGTCTTTGTAGTTCGTTGGTGGCAAGAAAATAAAAATTTTCATTAGTAAATAATAAGAAACTCTTTGCACTTGCATGAACCCTGCATAGACGAATGTCAGATTTGTTGAAATAGACTATAATGAATTATTACAAATTGTTGATTTTTTGTTTAATATAAGTGGCAAAAAAGAAGCTTTTTACTGCTTTAGGTGTGTGTTGAAGATATTGATGTATTATTTGATTAAATTCTATTTCGTGCAATCAGACCGGACGAGTTTTTTAAATTTATTTTCAAATATTTTATACTTTGTGAAAAAACAATCCTGTCCATTCTGACTGCGCTTTCAAATTTGAAGATGCGTGCTGCCCCTATTGTCTTGCCTTCTGCTTTGTTTGTAATTGAATGCCAACAGATTAGTGATATGAATTGTATAGAGTAATTACAAAGGGCCGGTTATATACACGTACAATATTTTTTTGTAAATGTCCCTATGACTGCTTTTTTGGCGGTATTGCTGGTTACTGCTCATTAAATACATTGAGGTTTGTTTAAAAAAAATCTCTGTTCTGTTTATTTAAAACCATAATATTTACACTTATACAAATTAAGCCAAAGGCGGAAAATATACCCAAAGTGCCGTAATCTTCTCATCTAATATCCGAAATAGTTCGATGTAGATGTTAGTTTTCTGCTGGTAGCTAACAAATTCCTATGAGCTATATTCATTATTTTCTATTTATTGTCTTTTCATACAATATAAAATATTTCAAAATTCCGGGTTTTTATCATTCGTAAACTGCAGAAATTATATTTAACATGGCATCATTTACTAAGCTCTTTTCCGCTTCAATTATCTTATTTTGTAAGTTCAAATATGTTTTTATAAGTGTATTTTTAAAAATGATATATTTAAATAATAGCATTTTCAAATATAAATAAAACAAAGTTGGCAATGTAGGAGGTGCTAAATTAGGTCACTGAGTTTTAAATGATAAAGTAATTTGATTGGGACCTAATTTAGCACCTTAGGATAGGGCATAGGGGTGGTACTTGGTTGCCTTCCTGAGAAGTCTGGGGTTTACAGCGGCCCAGGCTAGCATCTGGGGACCAGATGACGTTTACGTGAAGAAGGGCAGCACGATCAGCCTCACGTGCTCCGTCAACGTGCACTCGAGCCCGCCTGGTTCCGTCCTCTGGTATCAGGGTTCGAGCGCCGTGGACTTCGACTCTCCGAGAGGCGGGATTTCCCTGGATACGGAAAAGACGGCGTCCGGGACGACGAGCAAACTCCTGGTCACAAAGGCATCACTATCTGACTCCGGAAACTACACTTGCGTACCTTCAAATGCCAACCCTGCGTCTGTCTATGTTCACGTTCTCAACGGTAAGTCACATTTTCTTTCAAGTGTATATGACGGCCCGTTTTGTATTTATAACTGTTAATTTAATTTTCTCGTTTTGAAGACAGTAGTGTGTCTGTGATGCAATGTCGCATTTGATGGTTTTTAAACACTACCCTAGGGTATGTAACAAAAAAGTAGATGCCAGAATGAACAATAACCTCTATACTGCCATACAATTAATACGACTTGCGTATTTAGTGTATAAATCATGGCGAATATTTTTATTTCATGTTTGTTTTAGCCATTCAATGGTAAGCAGTATCATTTATATTGTAAACAACCAATAAGCCTAAGGCTGATGGCGTACTCAAGCTGTATTTTCCACAATATATCTTATTGCAATTAGTCATCGTTTCTTTTCCTTTCGAGCCAAAGCTGTCAGTGAGCTTTCTTATCCCAACTCAGAGATGAATAATTTTCTGAGGAGATGACTCCATTAACAAGGCCGTCAACGTGTCCACATTGCGTTGTAGAATAACTTGGTATTGAAACCATTTTTAAAGTCATTTTTAATGTCCTTATGCATAGTAGGCTATGGATAGTAGCCAAGGCAGACAAATGCGAATTGGGGGAGTGGTGAAAAAACGGTCCCAGGCGACAGTGAGAATCGAACACACGACGCGGGGTCTACGAGCCGAGAGTATATCAAACTAACCACTCGGCTACCGCGATCCCCCTACAGTACAGTTACATAAAAAATTAAATTAATCCTTAAATTACCGAATTATGAGCTTTCTGTATCAACTGGTGGTTTTCAAACATATATATTGTATTCTAACTACATTCATTAATCTAATATCATAGAACGGTATTAGCTACCCTTTTTATGCGAAATTGAACTGGGAGATATTCAATTATATTTAATTACATTGAATAACAATGTGTTGTCACTTGTACATTGGACATTTGCTGATTTCTCCGTAAATACAACACACATTATCGTTGGAAAAGTAAAAATTGTTGAGGTTTAAATAAACAACATAATGTATTGGGACGTAGAATAAGTCGGTAGCGTTTGTCAGTAAACAACACAATGTATTGGGACGTAGAATAAATCGGTAGCGTTTTTCAATAAACTAAATAATGTATTGGGACGTACATTAAGTCGGTAGCGTTGGTCAGTAAACAACATAATGTATTGGGACGTAGTATAAGTCGGTAGCGTTTTTCAAAAACTACATAATGTTTTGGGACGTACATTAAGTCGGTAGCATTGGTCAGTAAACAACATAATGTATTGGGACGTAGAATAAGTCGTAGCGTTTTTCAATAAACAACATAATGTATTGGGACGTACATTAAGTCGGTAGCGTTGGTCAGTAAAAAACATAATGTACTGGGACGTACATTAAGTCTGTAGCGTTTGTCAGTACACAACATAATGTATTGGGACGTACATTAAGTCGGTAGCGTTTGTCAGTAAACAACGTAACGTACTGGGACGTACATTAAGTCCGTAGCGTTTGTCAGTAAACAACGTAATATATTGGGACGTACATTGTCAGTAGCGTTTTCAATAAACAACATAATGTATTGGGACGTACATTTAGTCGGTAGCGTTGGTCAGTAAACAACGTAATGTACTAGGACGTACATTAAGTCGGGAGCCTTTGTCAGTAAACAACATAATGTATTGGGACGTAGAATAAGTAGTAGCGTTTTTCAATAAACAACATAATGTATTGGGACGTACATTAAGTCCGTAGCGTTGGCCAGTAAACAACATAATTTATTGGGACGTAGAATAAGTCGTTGTCGTTTTTCAATAATTCGATTTTGTGTTTCGAAACAATGTTTTATTTTAATCATTACTGTTCACACAATGTTTTTCTTCGTCAGTTTAATTCGAGACCTTTTGTTTTACAAGGCGTTTTGTAAATTTTTTAAATGGAGAATAAAGTAGTATATAATATTGATTGCCTGTGTGTCAGCCAATGAGTCTGCAGCACCCAAGGAAGTGCTTTATGACCAACTACCCGATGTTTGTCGCGGACGTCGGGGTTAAACCAATTTGCAATACATTTTTCATACCATATTCATCTGACATGGGCTCTGCCGGGATTCGAACCCAGAATCGCCCGGGTGGAAGATACGAGACGAATACCCTAATCACTCTGCCACTGCTGTCCGCTTGCATCCATGTGACACAATGTATAAGAAAGCGCTCAACCTTCTTAATGCAGATCAATACTGGAGCAAGACGTAAACTTTAGCTACAGCTGGAAGTCTCAACAGCACTCATTACACTCACAACAGCGGACGTGGCCGCCAGCTGCAGGAGACATTTCGCTCGTTACCGACTTCCGCTACAACCGGCTCATCTACACCAATCAAACAGCTACTCTCGACAGCGGCTTTTCTCAGCGAATGAAAATTCCGTCAGTAAATAAAATAGAAAAGGGAAAACCACAGCTTAGACTGTTAGTCAAATTCGTTTGTTGCATGTTGACGACGCTTTATGAAACGAATAAACGTCCGTATGAGGTTTGCTCCTTTCAGAAGCGGACATTTTGCAGACCTAATAGTCGCTCAGCGTGTATCACAAATCAGTATCACAATCGTAACTCCTCTTTTGTTCTTAATGCATTATTTTTAGCATAACTATTTAATAAATTATTAGTTAAATTTAATTATTTTAAATAAAGATTATTTGGAGATCATAAGATTCGGTCTTCTGCGCTTTAAATAAAGTTGTTCCGGTGTTTAGATAAATTTTCTGCCAAATCATCATAATTAACTAATTTATATAAATACTCATGAATTTTTGATCTCGTTTTCATTGGTCTACATTAAAATAAGCAAGTTGTAAATAATATAACGACAAAATTACATATACCTATTTTGAAATAAACTACAAAAAATATGAGTGACTGGGTCTGACGCTACTCGACGAAAATGGTTTAATTTTATGAGCAAAACCATGTAATAAATTTTAGTTAAATTTTATGAGCAAAACCGAGTAATAAATTGTTAGTTAAATTCATTTTATTATTAAATAGTATTCTGGTGTTTTGAACAATTTTCTGACATCATTAAAATTAATGATTTTTCCTTCTCGAATGTGGGATAATAGGTCATCTCAAAAAAACAACAACCAGTTTTTCTTTCAATCCACAACGTTTCGGATTTATTTTAATCCTTCCTCAGGTGAGTTTACGCAGTGGTTAACTAGTCGTTACTCTAATCATGGGAGATATAACCACTGGGTTAACTGAGGAAGTATTAAAATAAATCCGAAACGTGAGGATTGAAAGAAAAACTGGGTGTTGTTTTTTTGAAATGACCTATTATCCCACTTTCGAGAAGGAAAAATCATAAGTTAAACTGTTGAGGTCGAAATATAAATAAAATTAATTTGTTAAAATAAAAATGAATGATTTTCTGATCTCACTTAATTTGGTATGTGTTAAAATAAGTATATTGTAATTAATATAACGACAATAATACAATATGGGTGTCCGGTTCTTTTGTCTTCCCCTTTGGTCTTGAAAATCTGGACAGTGGGGAACTTGGTTGCATCGCATAGCGTAGAGTAGGGTAGCATTGCGTGGCATCGGGCAGATGTGCATGGGGGTAATACAATCTTATGGAAAATTTGACATAAGATTTTCATCGGGTGGCTTCGGGTCACGTTGGATAGCGTTGCATCGAGGTGTTCTCCGCTTTATCCTCGTCGGATTCTGAAACCAGATTCAATCTCAGGGTTACAAGTCTATACGATCCGCACACGATTAGTTACTATGGAATCGTAGGTTTGTTGGCTGTAGTTATAACTCGAGTTCTAATCAGTTCCTGTTGAGTACCAGTAGGTAGTAGAAGGAATAGAATATATTCTAGAGTATAGAAGGAATTAAGAGAGGCTATTTTCATGGAGATTTGAAACAACTGATTGCTTGATGCGAAGTTCTAGGAGGACGGAATTACAAAATTACACAGAGGATGGCAACAGTTAATGGAACAAATATTTCATATAGTGTTTATTACATATCATTGAACATTTAATTTAAAAAACGCTACGGACTTACTTTACAATTACATTATTTAAGCCACGCGCACAAGTACTTCGACCTCTGGCTGACAGTGGTAGTAAGAAAAATGCTAATAAAATTTAAAATTATTAATAAAAAAATAATAAAGTACAGTACGATTGAAATAAAGGTGTTATTTTAAACAGTTCTTAAAAGTAATTACTTTTGGTCTCACAGGCTGGAATATTTGACCAAATAAAATTGCAGCTGAGATTGCGAGTAGATGTTTTCCTGTAAACACAGTTGAGAGCAAACACCGACACATCAAAAGTGTCGGCTACTTTATGTCTGAGACCGGATCCTTTCCCGGTGTAAACAGTCATTCTATTTCACTGGAAACCGTTTAGTTCCTAACGTGCCGGAAATATTATCTGATACTTTTTTTTCTAGAAAAATCCTGTGTACAAAAATGCAGTGCCGTTTCTGAATTATATTCAGATTGGGTAGGTTTTCTGGTATTGTAAAATATGGAAAAATAAATCAAGCCGGAACCGAAAATAATTGCTGAAGCCACATGGTTGATAGTTGAAGCTACTATAATCGCTACAGAAGAGAAAGAATACGAAGAAGATTTTGCTTTCAGCGTCGAGTTGTATATCAAATTTATGACCAGCTGGTTTGAAAATACATAAATTGCAGCAATTGTTTCATTAATAATTAAAAAGTGACGAATATTAAAAGAAGGCAATTATGAAAGTATTTTCACTAAAGTTTTTGATGTTCATAATTTTTTTTAAAACTTCATTCTGTATAGCAGGTGTTTTGCCAATGTTTAAACCAAAATTATTTTAATTTACTATACCTATATGCAATTGTTAAATTTTGTTCGATCGTCTCCGATTAGCAAGCTAATCAACCGATTCTCCCTGGCATTCTCTTACACACGAGTTCGTTTGTGTCATATCTTGTACACATCATAAAAATAATGAAAAATTACATATTACATAAATATA